ATGCTTAAAGGCTTATAGAGAAAAAAACCATAATACATATATAAATATATAATTTATTTTACAAAAATAAATAAATAAATAAATTAGGCTAAAAACTAAAATTTTCTATTTTTTTCATTTTCCAATTTATCTTTTTTGTGTGTCTTTTGGCGGGAAAGCGACTAACTAGCTGACGCTGGTGGCTGGCCATCGGCTCTTAGTCGATTTCCCTCTTTTCATTTCACAACAGTTTTGTGCTTTGCTGTGGCATATTTCAAATATTTTTTACAAATTTTTGTTTGTGCTCTAAATTATAACATTCATACATACATATGTATGTACTATAAATATTTTAAAATTTTTTTTATGTGATTTTTAAACAAGTGCAGTGTATGAACAAGCAGCTCCTTGAAAGTGACAAAAGATTTTTATAAATTATATTAAATGTTTTTAATTTTGTTGCTATTTTGTGCCATTGTGCAAGACATTTTTACATTTATGGTTTTGACTAGCACCAAACTCTTAACCGATCAAGTATGTGCAGGTGAAAAAGAAAAGATTTATGTGTGTAAATATTTCTAAGCAACAGTTTTTTTTTTCGAATTCATAAAGCGAATAAGTCTTAACAAAACCGCATGGTAGACGTAGGTCATTCAATTTTTGTACTTTTGAACTTATGACATTACTCAATTTATACAAAATTTCAACATTTACGCATGCTCAGATCCGTTTGTGTTTTTCGTTTCAAATTTTTCAATTAAGTAAATCAATTATTTTTCTACATTCATTGGCATTGACTTGTTTTCTATTGTTTGAGCGCCTTTTTGCTCTTCAAAGCACTTGTTGATTTTTTGGCCTTAGCTGTTGCTACATGTTTCTTAGTGCCTGATTGATTTTTGGACTCACGTGCTTCACGTCTTGCTTCAATGACATTGTCACCGATGATATCATCGTCGTCGTCATCATCATCGTCGGCTTCGTCGTCCTCCTCGTCATCACCTGTTATGGCACCTGTAAGTTCAGCGACTCCATCATCAATATCATCATCATCTTCCTCATCGTAATCATCATCATCATCATCATCATCATCATCATTATCATCTCCCTCATTATTAACATTACTATTATTGTTATTCAAACTAGAAGCAACAGATGGTGCGCCACCCGCTGGTTTGACCGCTGCTGCCACGCCACTCACTGCTGGTTTGGCGGCAGCGTTCACACCTGCGGCACTTGGCTCTGCCAGCGTTTGCTTTTTCGTTTGACTACCACTACCACTACCATTTGTTTTTGTATTAGTTGTTGTTGTTTTTGTTTTAGTTATTTTTTGCGTGGCTGATGTTGCTGATGCAGATGTTGCACCTGCTGTGGGTGTTTTTTTTAGCGAGTTCTTGTTATGATTATGAATTTGATTGAGATTCTGTGACGTGGTGGATGTTGTTGATTTTGATGGTGTCTGACTATTATGGGTTTTTGTATTTGTATGATGCGTTATGAGATTCGTATTTGTATTTGTATTTGAACTGATGATGTGTGCGGCAATATCTGTTGCAACATTGCCGTTATTATCACTATCGCTAATACCAACGCTACCATCAATAACACTACCATCGATACCTTCAACTACTTCATCTTCTTCTAATATTGGCTCTAAGCTACTGCCATCTTCTACAAAATTATTACTAAATTCTTCATCGTAAAAAACATTTTGTTCACCTTCGTTGTTGTTGCTTGAGGCAGCAACGGCATCATCGGCTGAATTTCCAACAGGTACTGCATCGGCAACGTTACCACTTTCGACTGGTAGATCGACACCGTCGGAGATGCCACTGTTCAGCGCCGATTGACCGACGGGCGCAAGATCGTCTAGAGAGGCTGCAGGTGCTGCGGGGGCAGCGGCAACGGGCGCGCTGGCAACAACTGGGCGGGAATCGTCGTCATCATCATCCTCATCGTCCTCATCTATAGGAAAGAAATTTATAATTAGGTTTTTGCCAAATAAATTAGTAAAAGTTTAATTTATTTTAAGATTACAAATTTGTTAAAACTGGCAACTGAGTTTTACTCATGATAGCCTTATTTCCCATATTTTACAAAAAAAAACACTTAATAACAATAAAAATTAAGTCTTCGAGTGACATCGTATGGTTCCGAACATGTTTTGTATTTATGCGAGAATTTTTTTTTATGTTAAAGTTAAGAATTTGTACGCTGTTACAATGACTACAATTAATTACAACTCAACATAAATTTTCGAAAACAAATTCTAAAAAAATGTTTGATTCTCACAAAAACCCATCTCGTCATAAGGAAAACTATCTTAAAAATAATTCTAGAAAACCGCCCATTTGGTTGAACCACGTTTTTTATAGGGAATTAAACAAGGATTACAATGGTATAATTTTGAATCCCTAACTTACTGGTCTTGACTATGCAAATCAGCTTCAAAAAATTCAGCTGTTAATAGCTTAGTTAGCTTTAGGACAATCTTGACCATCTTATATATGGAAGCATTAAGCCCATTTCATTAGCTTTAAAACGACGTTAATATGAAGTCTCTATAATGAGCAGAACCCGAGATACAACGATTTGAAGGAGTACATGATTAGTCAGAATCACGAAAAAATGCAAACTTTGATAGATCACATCTCCGAAGAAGAAAAAATTAAAAAAAAAAATCCCTCGAATACATGTTAGCTTATTTCATGTATAGAACCCATTTGAAGCGAATCGGAGCCATGACATATTTTTTTTTACGAAATCCGTCCGACTTAAAAAAGAATGGCTCATATATATATACATTGGTATTCGTGCAGGTCAAGGATGAGGGACAGAATGTTTGCCGGTGTTTATGGACCTGGCACTAGACTTTCTATCGCAACGGACAGATGTATCGAGCTCATTTTATCTGAGGTAGACCACTTTGATGCTCTCCAAAGAGTGCTTTGCCATTCTTCAATTCTTGGCGGGATGGGTAAAAGTTCACTACGTGATCGGAGGATATGAAGTAGCGACAACAATTCTTCGGACTCGGGTTGCTTTGTTGGAGAATAGGTAAACTCACATACCGATGTAAGTACAGAAAAGCGGTACGGCCATTGCAGTCTCTCTGGCTAACCATTCTCTGTAAGCGAAAAAATCTTCTGAATGGAGGCAAAATCAGATTGCTCACAAGGTATTTAACACGTCTTGACCATCGTCTATTACTCGGAGTTCGTCAATTTATTAGGGGAGCTTGTAGTACTTAGGCCGGCGTTGTGGCGGTTATTTTATGGTGAAACAAAAGATCTTCTAGATTGCAGAGTTTCGTTAAAGCCAATTTATTAACTATCGGTATAATTACTTCTCGATATATTTAACGACAAATTTATCGATTGACGTGCTTATCGATGGCTTACTTTAAACAGTTTCCCTTCTTTCCAAGAAGTAAATCTGAGTAAATGTATATTTGTTATGAAAAATCGGATTTCTGCTTATCATAGGTTTTTCGTTGGGTTGTCAAATACCTGCTCCTCATTGCGCTGCTTTTACCTAAGATCATTTAAAGTCTAGAAGGATAATATTTGAATGTTAAAAACTTAGAACTTCATCGAATTATCTGTTAAAAAAAGGTGTGAGTACCAGGTACTCACGAAATTTGATGTGTAAGCATCTGTGTCCTGAACTAGTCCCAAAATAATTCCGAACTAGGCACTAAATAGTCGCGAAAAAGTTCTAAACTGATCCCGAACTCGTGGCGAAATGATGACGGAAAAGTTCCCGACTAGTCCTGAACTGATCGCGAACTATTTCGAACTATAGATATCAACGAGCAGTGTTGCCAGAACAGCTGATTAGACTTGCTTTCATTTGTATCTACGACTTCTGAATTTGGCTTGGTTTACACGTGATGGCTTACGCCAATTTTGCCATACCGGTTGTAAAAGATGTTTACACAAAAAACCCAATGAAAATGTATTTTTAAAAATTTCGGCCTTTTTATCAATACGCTACTGTAGTGCATATGCCTAAAACTGTGCTACGAAAAGTTGTAGATGATTATATTTGCGTTGTGGCGTTTTCTTAGCAAACACTGCAACAACAATAAGCACAGGCTGTTCCTAATGAAAAATTACAAATTTTCTGCTTGCTTAAATCAAATTTTACCTAGACTGAGGCAAAGTTATATTTAAGTCACCTATGGATATACATATGTAATTGAAAATGTATGTACTTATATGAATTTGTTAAATAAATTTGTTCATACGCACCACCCAAAATGTCATCGAACAATCGATCTAGATAATCATCGTCATCGTCATCCTCATCATCATCGCTGGCAGCAGCAGGCGATGGCGCCGCCTGGCCCTGTGGCGTATCATCCTCTTCGTCGTCATCGTCTTCCTCATCATCGTCATCATCTGAAAGCCCCGAAAGAAATACAACTGTTTTTAGAACACATACGAGAGAGCACATGAAAATAAAAGAACAAAATTTGTTATGGACAAGCAAACAAACAAATGATAAAATTTATTCAGTTAATGCAAACCAAATGCCAAATATTGCCAGCGCTCAATGTTTTTTTTTTTTTTTGTTTGGCTCTATCGCTTTGGTTGCATGACAGTCAGGTTGCGGTGCGTGCACTTATACGTGACGGTGCTGCTAACGATGCTACATACATACATACATATGTACATACATGCATATCTACATAATACACACTTTGATATGTAGAAATAGAAGTTCGAGGAAAAGTGCTGATGAAAGATGTGCTGGTGATAACAATTGCTGCTTTAGTTGAAAGTTCAGTTTAGTTCAGCTGAGTTGAATTGAGTTCATTTCGGTTCAAAGTTGAAACTCGAGTTAACAATGGCTTACAATCATCAGTATAAGAATGTTCCAACAGCAACAACAAAAACAACAAAGACAAAAACACTACGCGCTACTGTTATGAAAATGTAGCAGCTTGGTGGTCGTAGATGACACAATACGTGCACATTTGCTTACGATAGCAAAACAAGTAAAGCAGAGTTGAAAGGAAAATCATAAAATCCGATGAAAACGAAGAATAAACAAACAAACCAATTTACGTAAAGTCACCAAAGTCATCAGCGGTGGTGCCACTGCATTAGAGTTGAAGAAAAGATGAGTTGTTGATTGAAGAGAGTACATACATACATACATAGATACCTACATACATACATACATACAAACATATGTATGTATGTAGAAGGAATCCGGTGTTGGTGCAGGTGAAGGAAACACAAATTGCTAAATTCAATTTGCTAGTTTGCTTAGCCAAAAACCAAACAATTGTGTTGTTATTGTGTACAATTGCATAAGTGTGTTGCTAATAGATTTGTGAAAATTGGCTTTTGTTGCTTATTTCGCTTACCATCGTCATCGTCCACAAGATCGCCTAGATCGGGCTCATCATCGTCATCATCATCGTCGTCGTCATCTTCATCATCTTCGTCGGCAGGCGCTACCGCAGGTGCTACATCGTTGACGGCTTGTTGTCTCGCAATGGCACGCTCTTGACGCTCGGCAAGCTGAACGGGAGAGGCTTGAATTTGTAGCAGCACAGCGCTAAGGATGCAAAGTAATAGTACGAATTTCATTGTGCTGGAAAAAAAAGAATAGTGATAAAAAAATATAAGATTAGTTAATTTTATTGAAAGTAAGAAAAATACGATACATTTAAATGCCTTTATATGCTGAATATTTGTAATTAATTTTTGTATGTATGTATGTCAATAGAGTAGATATTTTATTTTAACCCTAGAACCCTAATCTTAGTCGATTCGACTAACACAGCTTATGTTTTGTGGTGAAGTTTCTTGAAAATGCATTTTTGAAATTGAATTTTCGTTAATTTAACTACAACACAACCGCACAACTTTTGTTTCATTTTGCTAAGAAAGCATTAAAACAATAACGTATGGAATAGTTTTTTACGATTGATGCTTTAAAACTTAAAAGAATCAGTGCTAAAAATGTTAACGTATTAAAAATTTCATTAGTGTTCCAGGGTTAAACTAATAATATTGCGGTTGTGTTTGACGGAGCTTCTCCTCCAATTTGCGGAAGGAGTTTCAATGCTACATCCACTGATATTAAGCAGTATCTTGGCATATCAGACGACAAAAGGGCCAATAAAAAGCATCGAGGATATTCGGAAGAATTAGTGGGAAATGTCTGGAGTGTCCGAATAACAACTGTATTGAGGAAAGATACGAAATGTGTGCGTCTGGTGTAAAGCCACTTATATCGAGTGTTGCTGATTTTCCGCCTATAAACGCAACCAGGTACAATAGAAAAGATAAGCAATACATAGAAGTCGACGGTCTCAATGTCATAATAACCACATGGGAGGTGTTGACCTCATGAATTGCTAATTAACCTGTTACCGTATTCACATGAAAGCAAGGAGATTTGCATTGCGGCTTTTTACGATTTTGTGGATATGAGCAAATATCATTTTGTCATTTTGTAAAATTTAACGATTTTTCGATTTTAAGAGTTCAAAGTATTTCAAGACATTAACATTAAACCGTGATTTTCAAAAACTAAATGAAAAAGAATTACATTGATTATACAATGGCGATTTGTGAAGTGAAAATCCCAATTTTACAATTTTTATTGGCACGCTCGAAATTCATTCTAAAATTGCTATGTATATGAAGAAATTAAGATATATGTATATTACTGAAGACTGCTGTAGGGAATATTCCACGGCAATATTTAATTAATTTTCAATAATATGACTTTTAAGTTAATGCGTGCGAGTAGACGTGTTAGCTGGCTGTGTACGGTACTACGGGGCGTATACGTTTTATACACAACTACGGGTATATGTATGTATGAGCACGAGTTGTTATTTTGACTTTTTAGTATATATTTTTAAAACACTTATTCATTTAAATACAACTTCGCGCGATGAAATCTTGTTCTTTATGCAAAACTAAAGATAATGCAGCGTCGAAGGTAAGTGTGCCACTATTTTCGACCAAGAATACGTGTTATCATATGGCCGTGGTAAACTAAAAGGTGATTTACCGTCGAATTCAAAAAGGATCAAGAGTATAGTATTCGTATGAAGCTGCTAAATTTTCATCTAGAAATAGCTGCTGATGGGCTTTGCAATACTGAAATGAATCTTAGAAGACCAGTTTTGGCCAACTTCTTATCTCGGCCCTATTTCTCTGTTACAAAATTGTTTCTAAAAATTAATTTTATGAGAAGTTTTTCATGGCAAAAATGCGCTCGGGGATTTGCCATTGCCAGCTTAGGGGCGGCCGATGTTAGAAAAAATGTTTTCCCATTTAGATGTTGCCCGGGCCAGGGATCTGATCCGGGTCCTATGCAGTGCTAGTATGCATCACTAACTACTTAGCCATAGCGGCATAAATATGCAACGTGTCTTTTAAAAGATGCAGGCTTTAATATGTAGGTACATACAAAGAAAAAATATCAAAGCGAAGACAGTGGTAATATTTATGGCATACTAACATGCTTCAAGTTCATTGCCACATTGTACGCAAGCACATATGTATGTAGTTATCTTTGTTTTATGCAACTTACGAATATAGCTACATAAGTATGTATTGTATTTTACCGCAGGTTCACGGATACAAGGCCAGTGAAAAATTTACAACCATACTTACAATGCTCCCCATTGCATGAGAAACTAGGCAAGTGTAACACATAAATTAAAGCGCAAGCACAAAAAAAATGCATACATACATATGTATGTATATGTACGTATGTGCCCACCTAGCATGTATTGAGGCCGAAAGCTGACCGGCAATAAAAAGAGCGCTAAAAACATAAAAACATTTATGTAGTGCTGACCACAGTCGGCACGAATTCATAGTTAATGCATACCAAGCGGAAATGCTACTTTCGTAGTCATACTTTTACTCTGTTTTGCAGTTTAATGCTTCTAGCCGCACATTTTGCATTTTCATTTCCTTAACAGGCAAGTTGAACTGTTTTCATTTTACTTTTTTTTTACCCAACATACATAATCGGTAGGGTTAAGTTACTAGTTTTCGAAAGAACCACGGTAATATATAAATATAAAATATGCCTCTCAAACGGTGCATTGGATTTGTATAGATCTATCTTAATTTAAGGCATCAGTGTTTGTTCGACGTCAATAGATAAGTCGCTCACTAATTCTAAGCTTACCAAGATTCAAAGGGCAGCATGCATCCCAGCCACAAAACTTTCTTACAAATTACGCCGATATTTATAGGTTCACAATCCACATAACAGCGCCTTTCAATCTTGAGAACAAGTTCTTCACATATACTTGTTACTTCTGGGAATGATTTGGAAGACGACTCGCTCTTGGGCCTGCAAGGTAACAGTGGGATGCCTATGTAAATTAGGTCACTCCTAATTGGCTATTTACTCTGAGGGCCAAGCACCAAAACATAAAATAATACAGCTATGAATTGATTAAAATTTTAACGCAATTGAACAAACCAAAAAACTAAATTTTTAATATCAACTCTACTCAATCATACACCTGGTTGCCCATTTATAATAATATTTTCCCTTTGACTTCTCCTGAAGTCGTTCACTTCCCTGCAAAAAATTGTGCGACTAATCTTTAAAGAGAGTATTCCGAGATTATTCTCAATCAGGTACAATTGGGCTTTAATTAGTCGCAACTATTCTCATACGGGTACGAATGGGGATCAATTAGTCTCCGCTCATCACTTACGGATATATTTGGAGACTCATCCCTAACGGGTACTATTAACGATTTAATGATATGTACGCACCTAGTCAATAAAATTTCATGTGCGGCGTTGGCACATAGAGAGAGTATTCGCTTAACAAGCCTGAGCACCCTGGTTCGAACCGCGGCTGGCGAAAATTTTTGTTTTAATTTTTTTAAAGTGACTAGTCGCTTTTTGCACCCATTCGGGTATAAAGAGGAACAATTAGTCTCTTCATAGGACATGCTCGAACAAAAGCGAACAGTTCATTCTATATAAAGAGATCAAATGTGGTATTAGTTGTATGTTCCTTTGCGATTTCTCCCGGAGTCATTCCGGATTAGTCGCATTTTATGCAGCGTTAGTATGTAGCTCACCAACATACATACATGCCATCCATAACGCGGCTGCGGTGAACCATTTTCTGCAATGGCTTGACCTAAATGTGCAATATTCGTAAATGTGTATCCTTGCAAAAATTGTTTGAACTGAGCTGAGGCACTTATATTTACCTCATCAAATTTTCCCATACTATTGCAACATATGTACATATGTATGTATGTATGTAGATATATGCTCATACATAGGAGTTCTCAGCTCTATTAGAGGCTGTTGGATAGCAATAGTACCAAATATAAATCTAGCGGCTATTCATGGGCATGTGAATAGTTAAATTCAAAGAAGCCATATATGTTGTACCCATGGTGGAATAATAACAAGTTGTTGTCAGCAGCGACGTGTTTGTTGTAATTTTGACAAGATCGGTATGCTTATTTTCAGTGCTGCCGATCATAATTATTATACTACTATTCTTTGGAATATAGTTTTTAAAATAACCCATATTAGTAATTCTTTTTATCGCGATTTTTAGAGAACTTGGTGTTTTCGGAACGATATTTCTTTTTAAAATTGCAGGATTTGTGTAAGTTGTGACCTCCAAATGTAAAAAAAATGAAAAATATCGTGGTTATCAATGGAAAAAGACATACACAAAAATCGTACGTAATACACAATATTTCAATTTTGCGATGATTGTCAAAATTTGCACGCAGCGAAATAAAAATAAAATGGAATGTGAAAAAGTTAAGCTAAAAATTATTAACTTTTCCATTATTTATTTACCTAAACCACATATGTAATTCATTCACCTTAACTATATATTAAAAACAATTGACATCCGTATTCGCATCCGCATCCGCGGATGTTAGCTTTTAAACATCCGCTTCCGCATTCGCATCTGTCTCAGAGGTGGTAATCTGGTTTACATACAATAATTGGATCATGGAAAAATAATGGTACTCCTAAGTTTTAACATGAGAATTGAAGTCGGTTTTTTTGCTTAAAAATTACTTGCTATAAAGAATTAGACATTTGTCGAAACAGTCAAAATCGGTCCACTATAACTTTTATCTCCCATACAACTGATTGTTAATTTTATTTTTCGGTCCTGGTTGACCATACCGTGGAAATGCTCATATGGTCCTCCGTTGAGTCTCACTTTAATTGATTTTAAGTACGTAAAAAAATTATAACTTTTAAGTACTTAGTTTTGTTAAAAATGTTGGGATATTTCTGAACTCGCGGTCTATGGGCCGGGCCCTCTCAGATCGGGGGTCCGTGGAATTTTGCCAACCATGCCACCCCACAGTTATGCCTCTGCATATTTTGCTTTACCAATACACCTTTCAAATAGGAGCCAAATTTTAATATTTTGAATAATGACTCAACTTCAGGCCTACCTGGTTAAAAATGTAGTTATAGTGAAAAATATTGCACTATCGTGACTATTTAATCTCATAAAACTGGATCATCTTCAACTGTATGATCATTAGCTACTTACGCGTTTATGTACGCACAGTTCACATGCTTTCACTTGCTGATGCTGCAGCTTAAGCTAATTGAAA